AACTTCATGTTCATGTAACAGTCATCTGGCTGATCCGAGCAGGACACTGAGCTTATATCCACCCTATGGACTGTGTTTGATTTGGGAGAAGATTGAAGGAGCAAAAAGTAACCAGAGCATGAATTTCTGATAGCATTTTTCAAGAGAGAACAAAATCCCCAAGCCTAGCTACAACACAAATTTATGTCCAAACACCTCCAGCACAGATAGACGCACACAATTTTGATTTGCTCTTTGCCTTGGTATTTTCTCAAGTTTCTAAACACTTTACCACACTTAAATTTTCAAGGTATTTGAACAAACCATTAACAATTAATTACATATTTCAATCATTATCATCTTTTAAAAGTTTCAAACATGATTTTTTTTATTAATTAAAAAATAAAGCAAGAGTATTTTCACTGTGAATTTGAATAGAATTTTCTAAATATACTCGTTTGAAAAAAAAATGATCACTATGGCTGAAATAAGTATCACTTTAAACAGAGCTTTCAACAGCTTATACAAATCCCTTGGTATCTTGTTAAAGTGTAGGTTCTCGTCCATATGTGTAAAGTAGAGACTACTATCTTACATTTCTAACCCATAATGTAGATAATGCTGCTGACTTTTCAACAAATTTTGAGCAGCAAGGCGTTTGCATATTAAGAAAAAGGAAGGTTATATCTGTATTTGTTATCTATCATCATAAAAAGCTTTTCATTTGGCTAAGTGATTGCTACATATTCAATGCAATTTCTCATATTTTTGTTCACTCTATCAGTTAAAGAGGTTTTCCTGCTATGATCCAATACTCGCTGATGACACTTGGAAGCACATCCAATTCTTAGGCCATCCCCTAATTAGCAAAATTCTGAAAGCTGAGGAAATAGTGATCATATTGTGCTGTCAGCTGTCAGTTCCTCATCTTCATCATGACTTCTAGAAACACCTTTGCCAGAATCTCTTTTCAGGTGACAGCATCAGCAACCTCCACCCCTGGGCTTCCCAGACAGGCTGGAGGGCTGCACATTTAGGCAGCCTGTACCTTCAGTGGCAAATGTGCTTTGGATTCTAGGGGAGCATCCAAGAACTCTTCATCTCTACTATTAGGTTCCCTGACTCCCATAACCCTAGGCCCTTTACTGCCTATAGTTTAGACTCTAATTCCCTGTATTACAACAATTCCTGCTTGGAATACCTAGAGCAGCTTCTTTCTTACTGTACGAACATTGATGCCATAACTTAAGACTCCTCAGGTGTCATCTTCTCTGTTCTTAATGGAATTAGGAGAGGCATTGTCATGTCTGTGGTGCTGGCTTTGAGGAAGAGAAAAGAGAGATGGCAGATGATCCTTTCTGGCCCTTTGTACAAACAACCTCCAGAAATCTTCAAAGCATGGCTGAATATGACAAAAGTTAGCAGATGGAGACAAAGGTTGAGCATCTGGGGCAGCCCAGCCTCACACCTGTGCTTCCCTGGGGGCTCTATGTCATGACTTGTAACACTGCGGGAGGGATACTGCTATGCTGTTTACAGTAATAAGTTGCGACATCTTCAGGCTCCAGACTGCTTACGATGAGAGTAAAATCTTCCCCAGACACACTGCCACTGAATCTCAAAGGAACTCGAGTGTTGTACGACTGTTGTATAGTGGATGCACTACAGATCAAAAGCTTAGGAGCTTTTCCCGGTTTCTGTTGACACCAGGCTAACCAACTGCTAATGCCCTGACTTGTCCAGCAAGTGATGTTGACTCTGTCTTCCTAGAGATGCAGACAGGGAGGATGGAGACTGGGTCATCTGGACATCACATATGGCACATGAGATTGGAAACATAAAAACAAGTATTCACATAATCATGTTATCAGAGGACTTCTCTGAAGAGCCAGGCAGTACTGACCGCACTGGCTGAGTAAATTCCTAGTGTTGTGTTTCCTTACCTGGGAGCCAGAGCAGCAGGAGCTCCAGGAGCTGAGCAGGGACCCTCATGTCCA